TATATATATATATATATATATATATATGTTATATTTATGCTGATAAATAAATATATATATAACATCTCCCTGGTGCTATTCCATATAATTTTCACCATAATTTTTTTCCTCACTCATGAAATAAATATAGTGATATATTAATAGATTATGCATGTCTTTAAATCTGTCACATTGCTCTTAAATGCTCAAAGTCATTTAGTAAGTTTTGCAGTTGAATGGCATATGATCCTTTAATCCAATTCTTTTTACAACATGATGCCTTGATTAGTTTACTCAAAATATACTCAAAGATAAGCAGGAAAAAAACGTTTTTGCCCTCCCCAACCCGCAGGAGCATTCTGCAGGCTTCAACAGGGCAGGGGAAAGGCAAAAATGCCCATGTTTTTTGCCAAAATGGGGGCATTTTTGCCTTCCCCCAGCCCTGCTGAAGCCTGCAGAGTGCTTCTTGGGGGGTGGGGGTAAGGGAAGGCAGAACTGCCTCCGTTTTTGCAAAAAACAGCCAATTTTTTCACCAAAACGGGTGCATTTTTCCCTTTCCCCAGCTCTGCTGGGGGGTGGAGGAAGGCAAAAATGCCCCCATTTTTTGCCTGTTTTTCACAAAAATGGGATGCGGGGTCAGGGCTTTGGGAGGCCAAAAATGGCTGTATTCCGTGTATAAAATGCATCAACATTTCCATGCTCTTTAAGGGGGGGAAATTCATCTTATACTCCAAAAAATATGGTATAATTTTCTGTTGATAATTATACATATTATATAATATTTGCTACCATTGATGAAATAGTATGTTGGTATTATAACATGTTATAAAAATTATTAGCTAAGGAATGTCTTTTTAGCACCCAAGAAACATAGTATTCACTTTCAAAATTGAAAGGGCAAACTTACAACTCTGTTGTTTATTTTGTTATAACTGGACATATTAAAAAATAACCAAGGTAATTTTTATCAAGGATCACTGCAAATTGTAGCAAAGGAGACCACATTTTCGTCTTACTATTTATTGTAATAAAACATGAAATACATAGTTTAAAATATTTTTAAATTATACTTTGAATTTTTTAAAGATAAACAAAAGAACCTTAAAAATTCTTCAGAAGAAATGGAGAAAAGCATTACATCTACAAATACACCTGATTATCCTAGTAAAGTCCTTGAAACTGGAAAGATAACAACAGTGACACCCCTGGATGTGAATTGTTTCCAAAGTAAAGCTTTCCAAAGTGTTATTTCACAGCATATTGGTAAAAATCCTAACCCTCCAATTGGAAGCAAAGTAGTACAGAAGGAACCCTCTCTGCATCTCGACACACCATCTAAATTTTTATCGAAAGACAAGCTCTTTAAACCTTCTTTTGATGTCAAGGTAAATACTTTGGAAATCTTGTCCCTCTTGTAAATGTTTGAGAAAACAGTCATAATATAACTATCAATAAATATCAATTTGTTTGTTAGTTCTAATTTTCTTTTTAATTTCAAAGCAAATTAAGTATGCTGTGTTTTAATGTTAAACTACTTTTTATATCTATAGTTATTTATTTTACTTGAATGAATATTTTATTATATGGGTAGTTTTATTTTTCAAGTTTGTATTATGACATGACATTGATATGATCATGTTGTAGAGTTAATAAAAATTATCCTTTATATGGAATATTAATAATATGTTCTCCTGTGCACTGCTTGGAGAGTCCAAGCATGGGTTAAATTCAGTCTATTTGCCCAAGGACTGAGTTAATTCTTTTGACTACGCCTCCCTTCCTCTTTGAGGGCCAGTTCAAAAACTCAGTCCAGCCCAGTCGGACGTGTTTTTGGAGAGTTCCTCAGTCCTTGGACGAATTAACTGAACTCTTCAGAGAATTAGCTAGTCTTTTCTTATTTTTGTTTGCTAGTTAGGGCAAGAAAAGGATAATTTCTCTTTACACAGGCTGAGGGAGTGCGGAAGAACCACGCCTTTAAAACAACGGTGCGTGGGTGCTTGTCCAGCCACTGCTGGCGAGCGCGGGGGGGCTGTAGGAGGCTTTCTCTCCCCCAGCTGTCGTTTTCACCCCAAATCACTCAGAGACCTCAGCAGAGGCTCGGAGTGCTGCGAGACAGCTCCTGAGGACTCCGGAAAGGTGCAGTGGCCATTTTGGGCATGTTTTGGCACACTTTTTCTGGCAGCCGTTTCTCCAGCTTCGCACCTTCTCCCTCAGTACAAAGACGCCGCGGAGGTGGATTGGCCTTCATCGGGGCGCCGGCAAGGCCTTTCCCCTCCAACGAAGCAGTAGAGGGGCCTGGGAGAGGTTTGACCCCTCGGGGCATTCTCCCATCTAGTAGCCATATCTGCGAGGCGTGCAGTTACTCAGCAACTAGCGCCTATTACTATTCTACTGGGTCCCGATCTATTGACTCCTGGTCTACTGGGTCCCAATTTACTGTATCCTGATCTACCGGTTCCCGATCTACTAGTTCCTGGTCTACTGTCTACAATTGAAAGTCTGAAGATGACAGAAAAATGCAAGGGAGCCCCAGAGGACTCCGTGACACAGCAAAACGCAGTATGCCAGATCCACCAGTGGTGGAGCAGGTGAAGGGTTCCAAAGGGAAGGGGATTCCTAATCCCAGAGGGGGCAAGGCCTTGTCTAAGGCCGAGGCTCACAGACACAAGGCCCTTGAAAAAACCTTCGAGAGGGCCAGGAAATTGTCCATTTCCTCTGGTCAACCATCCAGGGACCCCAGCCCTGCACCCCAACCCCAAGAGTTTTCCCTCAAGGCTCTCCAGAGCAGTGTAATTCTCCACAAGCCCTGGAGGAGATATTTCAGGCTTCTTCGCCTGCAGCCTCCCTCGGTTACCCTGAGTCCTCATCAATCCAGGAGGAAATTTGTCCCTTTGGCTGTGATGAACTCAAGAAAGGTCCACTGCCTTCTGATCACCCCATTGGGAGTGGGTTGGAGTCATCAGGCACCTCGGCGTGTGCCAATCTATCAGCCCACATTCAGAGGACCATTGAAAGGGACATAGAGGCTGGCATCCATAAGAAATTTCAACTTTAAGGACACCCAGGCCAAGCCTAGCAAAGAGTCTGCCCCAAAGGCTCAGTCAGTGGATCCCCCTTCTCCAAGCACCTCTATAGCTACTGAGGCATCAGTTCTGGAGGATGATAATGTGGATGAGCGGGAATTTTCTGAGGATGAGAACCCTCCTCCTGAAAAACTTGCCTTTACGGGCCTCTTTCTGCCCATCCATTTTCAAGTCAATCCTGCATAAGGCAAAGGCCTTGACCCAATTTTAACTTTTTTAGCAACAGAAATTTTGGGCTCAATTGTCATAATTTGAGGACTGACTGATAACCAGTCCTCAAATTATGACCAAAATCAGTCTCTACTGTAATTGTGTACATTTAATCACAATTTAGTATGTAGAATAATGTGATAATATTTGCCTATTTCATAACAATTCTGTAACTTCTCAATATCCTTGCGGACTTATAACATAATATGAGCTCTTGCCCTAGATTGAATGATGGCTTTTCTTATTCTTGTGGTAGCTTAATTTGGTGCCAATAAAACTAACAGATTTTATTTTGATCTGTATAAAAAGTAACCTTTATTAAATCTTCTAATATAATCTAAAAGCTTCTGTGATATGACTTGATTGGATATTTTACATAATTGGAAGAATAAAACAAAACTGTTTATTTATTCGATTAGTTTATGAGAAACATTTTGAGAAAACAATCATTAATGCCTTTTAAAAATTCCTTTCCTCTAGGATGCTTTGGCAGTTTTGGAAACTCCAGGTGGTCCTAACCAAGAAAACACAAATCTAAGTACTCCTCTTTCAGAAGTCATTGGCAGGAACTTAAAACTAGCTTTGGCCAACAGCACACGCCAAACAGTTGTAATCACTGCCAGTCCGCAGCTAAAAGCTCCATGCTGGCAAACGGTGAGCTTAGCATTTAGTTTCATTATACAAGTATGGAATCAAACTTCATTTATTCTTGGCAAATTGTTATTTCCTGAAGTGGTATTCATTTTATTGTGGAAGTAAATCTCTTCAAATATAATTTTAATTACAATAGTAAATACTAATAAAAACTAAACAGAAAAAGATAATGGAAAGAAAAAATAAAAATAGGTTATAATATATAAAAAAGAAATACTGTATATACTCGAGTATAAGCCTAGTTTTTCAGCCCACTTTTTGGGCTGAAAAAAGCCGCCTCGGCTTATACTCGAGTATATACAGTACTTTATTCATTAAACATGAAACTCAGCCAACTGAACATTCAAAAATGCATTACAAATACCATTGACTGGTGCTAATGATTGATATGGTTTGCTGCCAGCGTCTTAGGTATCAACCAAGTACCTTCTTAAAATATAAGATGTTCCGAGTAGCACAGTTTTTTGCAGTTCCGCTGGTGTTATTGCAGGAAGTTGCAATTTGTTGATGTATCTTGTA